ATGTGTTTATGTACACACACACACAAATAATCTCTCCAGGAAATAAAGCCAGTTCTTAGTTATTTACAACAACAAAATAAGCCTATTACACATCAGCTAATTTAGATGTCTGGAGTAATCCTGAAACTGAGCCGTTCTGTTGTCTTTTCTTAAACTTTTGGAAAAAATACACAAAAAAACTGCATTGAGGCCAGGGCTAAGCAACTGGTGGCCCACGGGCCATTTCCAGCCTGCGGGTGACTTTAATCCGGCCCACTTTATTTAAAAAATATATATTGGGGCTGGGGGGGGGGCGGGGGGGGGTTCCTGTTTATTACATTTATGATTCAATGTAATAAAATTAACAAATTTAAAAGGTAAGAGATCGTCAACTTTGGTTTATTTAAATAATGATTTTAATCGCTGGACGTCCGGCCCCCGAGCTGTTGGCTTACAGACACCCTCCCACCCAAAAGCAGTTTTGTTGAAAAGCCCTGCTTTAGGCCTTCGTTGAGGGAACAAATGTCATGATTATTATGAACCCGTGCAGCATAAATGCATGGCGATGTATTCAAAACACGTACCCACCCCTATCTAATTACACATGTCACCTTGTAATGTTGTTGCTCTTTCAGCAGAATAATAATCTCAAAACAAAATTGATGCTGTTTGTAAATAAAAGATGAAGCAAAAGTAACTGATGAGTCATGACTCCCGTTTTGTTATCACCTCACTTGGTTTCATAATACAAGCAGGAGCAAAAACAGTGTATCAAACTTAGAATAGTTTATACCACGATGAAGGTTTTGATAAGAGTGTTGCTGACATATTTCCAAACAACGAACCAACGGGCCACAAAGATCTAACCCAGTTTGGCTCACCTTCTGGCACTTCTGAACATTTTCTTCTCCTATATCTGTGGTCTGCAGCGCAGAGAGGATGTATCTGTTAAGCGTGCTGTCCAGAGCCAACTCCTTCAGACAGGAATAGGAGAGGATGCCGTCCCACTGCAGGATGTTGCCTAGCAGCTGTGTACAAAGGAGACCACAGTTTAAATGGATGTGTGTAGTACAGGATGGCAACACAAGAGCAACTGTTGACAAAATTCTTGTTGCTGCTGCAGCTGTTAAACTTGGAAAGTGCTAATGAACAAATTAAGAGCAAAATCAAGCACAGCTCAACAATTCACATAAAAACTCACTGTCAGTATGAATCAACTTTGAGTTTGAAGATTTAATTAAAAAGAGCAATTCTGAACCATATCAATATACTTCTTTGTACATTAGGTCAATAGGAGAGTAAACAATACAGTAATACTGTTGCTATTTACTGAGCTGAAAGCTAAACTCTATGCAGCAGAGTTTGCTCATCAACCTTCTGCCTTTTATTTTCATACAGTTACTGTCATTTACTTATTTCAGACTAACAAATGTTACATTTAATCAGATAATGCCATATACTGTATTTGGTGACTCCTTTTCAACTTGCAGCACACAAAGAAACTGTTTATTTAGATATAATCAGCAATGATCCTAAACGATGAGGCAGCAACTCAAAGAAGTAAGGCTGATGATTAGAAACCTTTCAAATCAAATGCCAATATTGTTTAGATCATCACTATAATACACTAGCAGTGTAATTGGTTTGAATGAACGGCCTAATGAATACACAGCCTCAACTGAAAAGTATCAATACGGCCTTTACCTTTTCCAGTTTTGCACATACCTTCACACAGGACCAGAACTGGCGCTGGTAGAAAAGATAGGCCCCGCTATTCTTGTTCTCCATCACACTGAACAAAAGACAAGTTTCTTTTATACTGTTTGTAAATGTAAAAAAACAAAAAAACAAAATGTTTCTAATCCAAACAATGATTCAACATACTTTTTGGGGTAGAGTGGAAGGAAGACGTCTTCATCCAGAACTCGTCGGGTCCGTAAAACTATAGTTTTTAAAAGCTCCTAACAGACAAAATTCAGAAAATTGGAGCCATTCTGTCACAATAAACATTTTTAGCAAAGGAACAAAATGATGCTCCACCTGTGTGTATTGGTTGTCCCCTTGCACCACAGTTGGATATCCTTCAATGAGTCTGTGAATGAAGCCCACCAGCCTGGCGGTCTGACTGCTTGACAGCGGGTCCCACACTTGCTCTACCAACACTACCACAAAAACAAGAAGACATGACACATTTTGTACTCGTCTACATCCCTCTCAAGGGATCCCTTCTTGGTATGCTGAGTGCAGCTAAGCAGGAATCACTACCTGACAGTTTGGAGAGGATGACCTTCTCTACAATAGCAGGCAGCAAGCCGATGTCCTCATCTTTTTGTAGCGTGGTGTGCTCCTCAAAACCAAAAAACAGAAGAGACTCGAACCACAGCATGTACTCAAAGGTCGGACACGACTCCTGCATAGAAATACAATTGAAAGAGAGCTCAATATTGTTCATCCAGTTTCTTTTCAAGCAGGAAAACATTCCTTTACATACACTCACCTGGAGAGGGTTCCAGGTAATGAGCTGCAGTCGAACTAAAGGGTTGAAGAGCTTGGGCAGACAAAGGCCGATGTAAGCGTCTCGGTAGCAGTCAGGGTATTCTCTCCTCCACACTTCAAAACGGTATTTGATGCAGTCCAGAGAATGAAAGTCCTCCACAGCATCCTCAAATACTTTCCTACTTTCCTTGATGATGCGATCTAAACAAAATAGTATGCTTTAGTTAGGTGGAATCCCTCATGGCTTTAGTCCATGCTAAGAAACAAATTCTTTTATGTTTGGTATGTTTGCAACAAGTACCTCTCTCCATGTTGAAGTTGGTGATGTCAGTTGAAGTTTCCTCATCATCAGACGATAAGCCTTCTTTATGCTCAGTCCAGTTTCCAGTCTGCTCTCGGGCTTGTCGCCGTCGTGTTCTGCATCCAGACAAATTTATTCAATTCATTTCCAGTTTAGCACCAAAACTTATGCATCTGAGGTCCGAGAGGATGATTTTGTCGAGTTTAAAACTATGTTTTAACAAGACAAACAAGTGGAACTTTGTCTGCTGCCTCTGAGGGACTTGAATAGTGAATGTTTGTAGTTTGGAGAGGAGTGTTTGTCTGGACTGGAATTGAACAGGGAATGTAAGTAAACTTTAATGTTTTTGGTGCAAGATATTCAAGTGGGGAGGAGTTACACTGTGGAGAAGAACAGAGACATTTTTTGTATTCTTGTCAGAGGAAGTGCAGAGTGACAGATCCTGGAGGGAGCCATTTTATCATTAAACTATATTTCCTCAGTCAAATCCCACTGAGAGCACAGATCTCTGCCATGAATGATTTTGGACTGTGGGAGGAAACCGGAGTACCCGGAGAAAACCCACACAAACATGAGGTGAACATGCAAACATCCACACAGGAAGATCCCAGACAGGGGATTGAACCCAGGACCTTCCTGCTGTGAAGCAACAGTGCTAACCACTGAGCTGTCGTGCTGCCCACCATCAGGTGCAATGGTTCCCTTGGCCCCCGTAGATTAATCTTTGTACCCCTCAAACCATTGAGGAAACTATACTTTTAACAATATAGAAACTAAAAAGCATAGTTTCCTCAAATGATCAGGGAGGCTAGTTATAT